CCCCCGCCACTACTGACATCGCACCCTAGACAAGCTGAGAAACAAGATACAATAATCTGCTGATTACTGAAGGATGAATGTGTGTGTGTATGAGTGTGATTGAATAAGAATGAATGACTATGACTAAGAATGAGTTGAGGTGATTGAGGATGATTGAGGATGTGGTTGTGAGGAGCGGATTATCCGCGCTACCGATCGTGGGTAAGGTGAGTGATGGCATGTCTCCGCCTTCGAAGGCACCTGGCTTATATCGGCTGCGGGAGCCGCGAGCGTATGCAACCGCGGTTAATCTGGATTGTTGATCCTCGACCGCAGAAGACTGTACCTAACTGCCTGAAACATCAAACGTCATTAGCTTCGTTGTTTCGCAAGCAAGTAGTAAACTGTTCTATGGTTACGCCTTCTTCGGATAAGCCATCGTTGGTATGCTACTGAAGTCAAACCTGAATCGCTATTGAGCCTGAAACATTGAACATAATTGATCCTTAATACTGAAACATACAGTAGTAGAAAGATACAAATATATAGAAAGAAATAGAGACTATTCTGGGAATAGTTGCTATATGTGCCGTTATAGAAGTCCACTTCAGTTTTGTCCTTATATCGTTCTTTAGCTATATGGGTTCTTATTCTTTCATTTAGGACACTACTTTAAGGTGTTCCACCTACATACTGATTTCATAACAAACGCATTACGTGGTGTGCAATACTTTTTTCTATATGCTCAGGTTGTCTTTGTCAAGTGGCGACATCGTTCCAAAAGTTATCTTTTGTTTCATTTGCTATCCTCTCCAGATCTTTTGTTGTTATCACTTGAGGTCTTCGAATTTGGCTAATACATCGTCCTCGATTAGAGCTTCTGCCGCCCTAGAAAGATCCTAACCACGACGTTGCAAAACTTCTTTTTATCCGTAAGGCTAGTGGCTGCCTACTGTGAAGACCTGGGAGGTTCTCTACACTGCTTTTTGGCGTTTCACTGAGCGTCTAAGACTACAAATCCCGAAGCCATGTCGGAACTAGTGTTCGATCACCAAAACAATTATCAAAAATAGTAGCAGGCCATCAAGAACACTAAGGATGATGATTGTAAGACAACGAAACGAATACTGAGCTCCGAATGGCATTTGAGGCAACGCTATCTAAGAATCTACTTAATGTATTAGTAAATATGTGTTGATTTCATCACCATCTGTTGTACAGTCAAAAGTACCATTCTCCTACATCGTTTCTGGCACATGAGTTCGAACTGGGCGCACGTGGCGCATTGGTCGGAGGCACCCGGCAATATACATGGGTCTATTCTCGCACCCAAGGCTTGCCAAACCTTCCATCCCGCCGAGGTCGGCAAATTCGTACCAGGCTTGTCTGAGAGGTTAGCAGCACTAGCTCGATACATCGGTAGGCCACCGCGAACCGTTGTGTAGGCCAGATATGCATTCAGTCACCTCTAGCGATATTTATTGAGATCGAATGCATGGCGCATCCCTCAGGGATTGACTAATGAAGAGAACTTTATTCTTTTTATCCCTTATTTTCTTCGATACCTCTTTTTTGGTTATGGTCTTTTTACGGTGCTTTTTTAAGCAATATTGCAGTGTTATTACCAAATTAATGCTTAGAAAAATGGTGCCTCCTTAAATGTTGTAAAAGTAACTGCCACGACCGACTTTCTATTAACCTCGGCATTGATCAAGTAATTTTCTTCGTATTTTTGTTGAGCAAACGCGAGGTTTTATTATTCTTTGTTCACGATTAAGCTGACGTTTCGGCGGATTTCGCCTTCCTCAGAGCCTGGAAAGGTCAAGTTGATAGCAATCTACTCGGCCAGACGCCTCCATAACCAAACAAAGAAACTCTAAACCAAGATTTCAATCACTTTGAACACAGCTTTGCACACTCACCGCTTCCTATGAGGTTTCCACTAAGTATGTCACGTAGAGACCAACCGCACAGAAATCACATGGAAGCATAATGTGCCCTCCCATTAGAATAACAGTCTTATATACTACCCTATATCACGCGTGATAATGAGGCATTCTTCCCTGCGGTTCATTTTCGGATTTCTGGAATTAATCCAGAGTGCCTCGAGAGTTTTTCGCGCCTGTGTTCTTGATTCGCGTGCGAGGATCGTGACACATACTTCGAAGTCCTCCCCGTTATGTCTCTGGGTCCTATGCGTGCCTAGCGGGGTGTTTGGTTTATTTTTGCCGGCTAGGTGTTCTTTCATGCGAACACAGAGGGGTCTACCCGTTTCGCCAATGTATTCGTCACCACACGTCTTACAGCGGATCAGATAAACTATACGCGAGCTCATGCAATCACCGTCTCTACCACTGGGGCAAATTATGCAATTTTGAGTTGCACATAGACGGTCATATAGGCGGTTACGAACTAGCTGGCGCTTAAGATTACTCGGTGGTATTTCAACTGCGCTCACCGAATTCTCTAAGCCCGCCCTTCTTAAGCAGCGTTTTATAGTTGTACTTATATCATTTGAGATGAAGGGTAGGATAAACGGGACCCTTCTATCGCTAGAGTTGTCGTTTGGAGGCCTACGATTTCCTCTACACCTATCCTGAGCTACAGTTTCGTAGCCATTAGAAATGGCTATTTGCCGTGCCAAGTTCCGGCACTCCTCTCTCTGCTCTCTTCCCGTGCACATGTTGGTTGCTGTTCGAAACATGTTTCTTATAAGCGCCCTTTTCGTGTGAGAGGGGTGAGAGGAGNGGCTAGGTGTTCTTTCATGCGAACACAGAGGGGTCTACCCGTTTCGCCAATGTATTCGTCACCACACGTCTTACAGCGGATCAGATAAACTATACGCGAGCTCATGCAATCACCGTCTCTACCACTGGGGCAAATTATGCAATTTTGAGTTGCACATAGACGGTCATATAGGCGGTTACGAACTAGCTGGCGCTTAAGATTACTCGGTGGTATTTCAACTGCGCTCACCGAATTCTCTAAGCCCGCCCTTCTTAAGCAGCGTTTTATAGTTGTACTTATATCATTTGAGATGAAGGGTAGGATAAACGGGACCCTTCTATCGCTAGAGTTGTCGTTTGGAGGCCTACGATTTCCTCTACACCTATCCTGAGCTACAGTTTCGTAGCCATTAGAAATGGCTATTTGCCGTGCCAAGTTCCGGCACTCCTCTCTCTGCTCTCTTCCCGTGCACATGTTGGTTGCTGTTCGAAACATGTTTCTTATAAGCGCCCTTTTCGTGTGAGAGGGGTGAGAGGAGAGGTAATGAACGAAGATGTTTTTACTACTTCGCTTTCGGTACCACTTTGTAATGTAGCCATTTTCTGATAGGTGAATTTGTACGTTCAAAAGTGGATTGTCCATTTCCTCTTGTGTTGAGCAAAGAACAAAGCAGTCGTCTACATACCTACAGTAGAGTAGCGGCCCGAGATCAGTCACCGGTGCTTCCATCTTAGACATAAATGCAATGGCAAGGCTTGGAGCCAGTCGTTGTCCCATTGCCAACCCTCTTATTTGAGCGTAGTACTTTCCAGACCATCTGAAGATTGATCATCTGATTGAGATTGTTGTAAAAGTGTTTTATGTTTGCACTGTTCGAATAGCTGTTTTTACATTTTCATCCCGCATTTGGAAAACAGGAGGATGGTGTTGAGGTTTTGTAGTGGATTGTTTCTTCGAAAATGGAGAGGTTTCTTGAAACAAGTTCTGTCTGCATTTAAACTCCTCAGTACAACTCGACTTCTGCCAGGTGGTTCTTTGGTGGAAGTCACAGCGTAAATGTTGAGATTTAGTATACATATTTTAAAGCATTAAACGCTGTAAATTCATAGCGTGCTATATTCTATCGTTTGTGTATTAGGTCTCCCAACTGATTACTGTCTCGTGGCTGGGAGGTGTCCCTGGATGTCGGACGTCGATGTAAAGCGGGGGATTCGTCCACCCGGCAGGTTCTCCCAAGCTGAGAAGGATTCCGGCCTTTCCATTAGGAAGCCCATCTAAGAAAACCTAATACCAAGATCTAGTATCGTCCTGGTATCAAACCAGTTGCATGGTTTCAAATCCCCCAAGGACGGCGACCGCCTGTGGTTGTGACGACCTGGGGAAGACTTTGGCCTAGCTGGCCTCGGGACTCCAGGGAACCACAATGGTTAGACAGCAGAACTCCGATAAAATGGAAATTTTGCTTGGGCCGCACATCCAGTGAAGCTGAGCCATCCGAGTAAGTGTCTTTTAGGTCACTATATCATGCGCTTTTCTGGAAGTGCTGGGGTACACTGTATAGTTATCTCTATGTTTTTAGTATTTCCCTTTTGCACCTGTTTTCCCTCGGTGTAGAAAATTGAGTAGATATTGATGAGCAGTTGTTTATTGTTCATCTCACTCATGCCAATTTTACCCCAACTTCTTCTTTGTCAAAAGAACCTTGTTGTGTTAATAATGAAGCCTGAACTGTCTTCGATTATCAATCCTTTTGGAACCTCTAGCGGACAGTTGTTACAGTTCATTCATATGGTTGGTGACTTATTTCATAATGGGTGAAAATGGTTCATACATTTAAGATTATGGACGATTTCGTTATCCGTTATACAAGTATAGTACTTTTCTGTGCTGTTAAGGTGACTCTTTTCGCAAATGTCCAAAAAAGACCGAGACGATTTTCTAATTCCACTTAGGTCTCAATCTAATGCTACTTTCCTTTATTGTTCATTCCATTCTCACTTGAAAGCCTGGTACAAGTTTGTGAACCTTAGACCATGAATGAGAATATTCGGATTCTTGTGGTAAGCATTAAATTTTAAACCAAGAAATCAATTTTTGGTACTGTTTTTGGAATACGGAAGAAGCATGTGAACGATGATGAGACGGGAACCTTTGGCCTTTGAACAATGATGCTTTGACAAATTGAACTTAAGTTGGCGGAAGAACAAAGTCCGCATTGCTAGTAGTTCGGAGTTGGGTATGCAATGTCCTCTTTAGATACGACCACTATTATCACGTCTGCTACGTTACTGCGTGTTTGACGTGATGAACGATTTGAAAGAAACACAGGGATCTTCATCTATGGAAACATTCGTTTCATATCACTGGAAGAAAGTTAGAAGCTACTTTGAATTGCCAAATGTTCAAAAAAAACAATGCTTCTTTATAACCAAAGCGAAATATCTTCTTTTCAGTTTTATATGCATCACATGATGAAACTTCGATGTCCAGACGTCATGGATCGTGCTATTGAAACGATTTGTGCTTGTCTGCTTCTGGAACCTCAGGAAACACTCATCACCGCATGCGTGGTAAATTTTGCACAAGTGTCAAGATTTCTCTTTCCTATGCCGCGTGTAGCGCAGCGGTCGAAGGCAACATGGATCGATCCCAGCACCCGCGGCTCATCATGCCTTCAATCCATCCAGGGTCGGCGAATTGGAACCAAACTTGTCTGGGAGAATAACAGCCCTCGTTCGATACATCGGTAGGCCACTGCCACTCATTGTAAAGGCTGGATATGCATTCAATCAGTTCTAATGATATTTAATGAAGTCGAAGGCGTGCTGCATCCCTCAGGGATTGATACCGAGAGCTCGAGAGCTTTATCGTTTTAGCTTTATCAGGATTTCTATGTGTAATGTATGTTCTGCTCATTGTGATTTGACTTTGAACGTGTGATTGTGACTTTTATTGTGCATATTTTCATTTAGACGGAAAGTGTCCAAGTTTTTTTTCCAGTTGATGGTTGACTTTATGATGGACCAGAAAAGTCAGGTACAGTTTGAGGTGCCCTATGTGATTCCGTTGGTGAAGTTACTTACACAGGTACATTGTGTAAGCAGATTCCTACATATAGCAAGAATTTATATCGACGTTGAAAGTTTCAGGTAATGCTTATGTCTGTCTGGATTATTGATAGAGAATACAAAAAAGTCGAGGAGTCGAAGATTAGCGAGCCTAAACAAAAAAGACCTAGGTTGTTAGGGGAACCACAAGGTATTCTTTTTTACGTGCTTTAATGTCATTGCCTAGATTCCACTGTATTATAGTTCATCCCTCCATTAAAATTCTGCAAGAGACGGTTGAAGTTGCTATTAACAAGTTTGTCAAAGGATCTAGCCAAGGTATATTTTTTTAGCTAATGTGTAGTTCTTTTGCTAGGGCAAATTGTTTGTACTAACTTCTAAACATTATGGTTTTGTAACCGCTGTGGTGTTTTGAATGGTTTTCACTCATCGGTTTAAGGCTCGCTTTATCAGCCCATTAGCTCCGTATGTCATATTGTCCGAATGATAGCTAGTGCCCCAGAAAGCGAAGCGAAACAGCTGCTTCTCCCGTATGTGAAGCATTTATTGGTAAGATTTTGACTAGGTTGCGTGCTGTACGTGACGACTTTTACATTTATGGTCTGTTCACTGGGTACATTCTTCACCTTCCTTTGAATGCAACGAGATTCTTGCTTCCAGTTTTTTCAACTCGCTCGTCTTGAGCCGGGCTCGATATCGTTTGAACTTTTTTCAACCTTTTGTGATCCAACAAATGAAGACCACGACTTGGAGAAGTTGAAGTTTCTTTGCTTGCTTCGGAAGTCTGGCGGATTGTAGTTGTAGTGTTGTTATGATGACAACACGTCATTTTAATCAGGTGAATACCTGGATGTAGTATTGAGATAAGTGGAGATGAAAAAGTACATCATTTTGAGGCAGAACAAATGTAACGATGAAGATGTAGGTAGTAAGAATGAATCCATTCTTAATCATCGAACTGAAGAGTGCGGGTGCAAATAAACCGAAGTTTGAATGTATCATGACAGAAAAATTGGTTTCTATTTAACTGAGCATTGAAATGTTTCTGGATGCCATATTACCTCTGATTATTCGTATATGAAGTCTTGTTTAAAGTTTTCTTAAAGCTTTTTAACTTTTCTTTTTTGCAGTATTTTAACGTTCTAACTGTGTTTTCGATTTTCGAAGTGTCCTCATTGATCTCTACGGATCTCATTATAATGGGAATTTCTACATGAATTATTTCATTACTCTGTTCCTTTTATTGACTGTGTGTCCTCTCTGTGACCATGGAAAATTGTTTTATATCCCAGTTGTGTTGTGAAAGGGGAGCAACTGGTGACTCCTGAATAAAGAGTAAATGATTAAGCGGATTAAGGTTATCCGTCGAGAAAAGGTAAAGATGAGAGTGATAATCGGTGTTATAGACATGTGTCCTGCACTTAAATGACTGAGGTAACGAATATGTGAACCGAGTCTTCTGTCTGTGCTTTTTTACGTTTTTACATTACCCTTAATAATCACAAAGGTGTGAGAAGTACCTTCGTCGGAGGGTGCCATGCAGTACACCTACTATCGAAAGTATTCGATGTGGTGGCCCTGTGCTGTTTAGAACCTCCATACTTTCCATAGGTAAAAATGATTCGGATCACGGCATTAGCTACATATGTCGAATACAGGCATAGTCACTTGTTCGAACCGTCAGAGACAAGCCTTCCATCCTTTCAGGGTAAGCAAATTAAGCGTGTTGGGGATTCAGTACGTGAAGTTCTGAGATTACCTGTGGTGAAGACCTGCCAACACTAGCAGAACTACAATAGGATTCCAGGGACATCGGTTCGATGAGCATTCAACAACGTTAGTGAAGAAACCAAAATTTTAAAGTCGGTGCACCCACGCCCATATCAGCAGATCATAGTAGATGACGAATGTGTGACAATAAACTAGATGAAAACAGTGTTAGAACCCACGCAGTGTGTGATTAAGTCCATATAACTTAATAAACAAATCATATGTTCTGACTTCTTGAAGAACATGCCTAGTGAAGAAATCAGGCCGGTTTTTCAAAGGTTGCCGATGTAGGTCTCTTTTCTGTTGTGTCATCGACGCAAAACTTACTTTATGGTAGGTGATGAGTGAGAATCTGAGGTGCTAATGCTTTTCTATGGAGATATCGTGTCTAATGATTACTATGGTGAAACTCAGAGAAGATTACCATTGGGCATGATACTTTCGAGTAGTATAACATTGCAGGAGAGGTTGCGGGTATTCTTCTATGTTGCTATTATCTTCTTTGTCTTCATCGCATCTACTTAGAGCCTTGCAAGTTTTGCATTAGGTGACAGTTGACTTCATCCTGTCTAGCCCCACGATGGTGTATCAGCGCAATGGTCTGAAGCCAGACATTTTTTCGAGACCATCAAACTTCCTAGTTCCTTGCCACTGTTATATTGAGATGTTTTCTTTTATTCCTTTGGAAAATATCAGAATTCATGACTGCTTTATGACTTCAATAACTTGCATTTTGCCGTATTTTCTGCCTTCCATAAGAAGTCAACCTTACCCAATATATAAACGGCGTTCCGATTCCATCTACAATCATGCTTATGCAGTGATTCATTAGACATTTCTCATATTAGACTCGTCTGGCAATATGACAAGTCTTATTCTGGTGCGTTACACCTTAGTGCCTCTAAATCCAGCTTTGAGAGGGCATCTGGAGTTACCACCAATGTCTCCAGTTCTTTTTCTGAGTCAATCCTTGGCGTTGAATTTCCCAAACTTGTGTAGAACTCATATGGGCGCGTGTCGCGCAAGTGGTTATAGGTGTCCAGCAATATACATGCGTTCGACTCTGCGCCCCAGACTCACCTAGCCTTCCATCCCTCCGGGGTCGGAAAATTAGTACCGCACCTGTTTGGGAGGATAGCAACACTGACTTGATACATCGGTAGCCCATTAGAAGTCATTTTATAGGTTATATATGCATTCATTCACCTCTAACGATGATTGATGAAGTAGAATACCTGGCGCACCCTCAGGAATTGGTCAAGCGCGAAACTTTATCCTTTATCCTTTACAGAAGTTATTTCCGTATAGGATGTCACTGCAGTGTCTCTGTCGTGGCTTCATTGATGCGTAGACGGTGAATATTGTCAGTAGCATTATCGACACTTTTTTCTTCATCGTTAACGTTAAACTTCAGTCGTTAGTTGTCCAGAGAAACCAGTGTTCATGGAAAAGCTTATGCGGAAAAAGACACCATCTCTATCGATTCTTATGTACTATCGCTTGTTCTGAAGAACAATTCCTCTACATTACAACGCGTTTATGCAATCACAAATTTCGCCTAGTGGAGGAAGCCTTCCCGTCTTTACAGTGCGATTGTGTCGCACTTGATCGTGCTTCTCTTGCTTCATGGAATTCCAACTGAGGTTTCCGATGCTGTCACGCTTACTTCATAAATAATGATCGTCGTCGTAGTCCTTTCAGATCTAAGCAACTTGTTATGGCGTCGAGATTTTAGCAGTTTTGCGTTCTTTGTCCCATCCGTGCCATATCTTCGGCTATTGAGCCTCTTAATGGGTGGTTTTTGGTATTCTTGACGAGAGAATCTCCACTAGCAACTTATACGGATAGCATTATGGGTGTCGAGTATGCCTTCGAAAATTTCCATACTTACGTCATTTGTAAGGCGACGGGTAGCACATTGGTAACGATGCCGGTCATCACAAGCACTGTGCTGGATCGATCCCGCTCAGGGCTCACCAAGTCTCATCCATTCGGGGTCGGGAAATTCGTATCGGACTTGCTCGGGAACAACACTGTCTGAAATCCAATTGGGAACTCTGGCTCCGCTATCTCAGGACCTCAGTTGGGTCGACTCTACCAACCTTCTACGACATTCAAGATGAAATGAAAATCCTCGAGCACCAGTCGGAGTGCGACGTAGAAGTTGGCATTCCTTAAATCATGGATGCGAGGAAACGAATCGGATATAAGAAGTGTTGGGTTCCGCGCAGTAGATGTGAAAACGGAGCGTATAAAAATGAAAAAATGTTTGTATGGCGCGATTACGAGTCACGTACAGGCTTTTAGTTGAAAGGGCATGTAGGATTCAATCCATGGAAACGAAAACTAACCGAACTTTGCACGCATGAACATATGTGCTTAAATGCAAAAAGTGTTTGTCAATCCAACAGAGCAAAGAAGGGCTGCCAGCTTCGTATACAGGAGTAGTACTCGTGATACTGTATTATCAAGAGAAGACAATAACACATGCATAAAAGATATACATTAGTTTACTGTGCTCTAAATGACCACGCACTGAGTTGTTACTATACTCTTTGTTCCGAAAAGGTGACGTTTAGACGGATTTCGCCTTTTTCACAGCGCCGAGAAGAGTCAAGCTGCCTGCAATCTATCCATCGAAACACCTCCCTAAACGAAACGGAGAAAATACTAAACCCAGATTTCATCCGCATTGAAAACAAAATGGCTTTCTCGCACACCTACCGCTCTCTATGAGTCTTCCACTGCGTATTTCACGTGAATACCAGCCGCGCAGAGTTCAAATATAAGCTTAATGTACCTCTCTTACACCAAAGTGTCAGTCTTAAATACTGTGTGAGATCAAATGTGATAACGAGGCATTCCTATCTGCGGCTCATTTTTGGGTTCTTGGAACTTAACCAGAATGCTTCCAGAGTTCCATGCTGTGAAGTTTGCTATTCCTTGGTGACGATGGTGACTTCTACTTTAAGATATTCTACGTTTCTCCGCGTTCTGTGCGCGCCAAGTGGAGCATTCGGTTTAGCATTATGCTTGCCGACCAGGTGTTCTTTTATACGCGTTCGTAATGCTCTAACCGTTTCCCATGTGTTCGTCCCCGCATGTATGATGAAGGACCGGATGAATCTTACCCGAACTCGTGTAATCACCATTTCTACCGTTAAGGCACATGCAATTTTGCGGTATACATAGACGGTTATATAGGCGGTCATGAACTAACTGGTGTTTTATAGTGTCCGGTGGTATTTCAATCACTGTTACCGAATTCTCTAGACCAGCCTTCCTAAGCGACGTTTTATAGCTGTACACAATTCGTTGGGAATAAATGGCACGATAAAAGGGACTCGCTCGCTAGAATTAGCGTTTATAGGCGTGTTCACCTATCCCAAGAAGCTACGACCTCGTATCCATTGGAAATGGCTATTTGCCGCACCATTTTCAGCGATTCTTCCTTCTGCTCTCTTTCCATGGAAACGCTCATGGCTGTTGGAACATGTTTCTTACAAGTTCAAATTTTTTGTGCGAGGAGTGAGAGGAGATGCAATGAACCAGCACGCTTTTGCAACTTGGCGTTCCGTTCCGCTTCGTGATGTAGCCATTTTCGGATAGGTTAATTTGAACGTGCAAAAATGGGGGCCCCTCTTTCAGTTCCTTATGGATAAAACTAAGGTGCTCTGACTATTCATTCAATGATTGACAACATTTCTTCATTTCCGTTTCTGTGGTGCAAGTGACAGAGCAATCATCTATATAAGTGCTTCCACTTTAGACATAAATGCAACGGGAAGGCTTGGTGCCAGTCGCTATCCCATTGCCAACCCTCTCATTTTAGTGCTTTCCGGACAATCTGAAGATTGGGCAGTTTATTTTAAGAGCGCCATGAACTGCTGTATCGTGAAACCACACATGTTTATTTCTCCTTCGTGTTGTATAAGGAGTTCGAGGATGGGTTGCATAATGAAGTCATTCGACACGTTTGTATACAGGGCAGTGAAGTCGAGGGACTGCATCACGTACGCGCTGTTAGG